CGGCGGCGGCAGCAGCAGCAGCAGCTCCCGCACATCCAGGAAACCCGTTCCCTGAATTCAACACACCACGAGGTCGCGATTTGTGTTTTCGTCTAAACCCAGCGAGGTTCAGTGAGTTACGTATGCGAAGCAAAATATTCTGGAGGTGGCTGCAGCTATGTGAGAGTAGCCTTAAGAGCTAATCATGAGGGACTGAGAGAATTCATAGAGATGTCTCGCGACGTCTCGTTCCAAACGCCGCCCAGAAGCACCCTTTTGCTCCAGAAGTTCTTCAGTCGCGCCGACTTCGACGGTCGGGAGGAAGTCCTGAAAATGCTTCGAGGACGCACCTAGGATGTGAAACCTTGTGGTCGTCAAGGCTCTCGCGGAGCTCGGGCCCCACCCGACCGCGGCGGACCCCCAGCTGTCAGCGAAGCACGACGCACAGGGGCGCTCCCAGTTCATCGCGCCAACACACGTCGACGTCATTCCGGCAGCTGGAGATGATGAGGCACGTGATGCTTCCATTGCGCACCTGGAGACCACATCCGTAGCTCAAGCACGAATCGAAGTCATTCGAGCACGGGTATGCCAAGACGCTCAGCCGGATCAATCTTGCCAGGTATTGGCAGGAGTTTCTCGATGCACTCGCTCCGGCAGCGCCGGCACTTGCATATCAAACGTTGCTAGGAGGAATGGCGTGGATGACAATGACTAAGTTGGTCAGCTGCGTTTACGCCAGTTCCTTGCCGCACCACTCTAAGACTCCAGGCTTCAAACACGCACGTGGTCTTAACATGTTGGCCAAGTGGATCAAGCTACATGCACAGACTCTCAAGCACAGCAAGCTCGTGCCTCCAACGAAGCTCGCGCGCGTTTACGACAGCTCCTTCAGCGCTGGGAACACCCAGGGATTGATGATGAAAGGTTGTGTCCTGCTTCCAGTAGAAGACCGTGAGCCTAGCAGCCCCTTCGGGCAAGCGCAGGGAGTAGACTGTTATCCTGGAAGAAGCCCCACGTGCGTCGCAGCATTTTCGTGGCAGAGCTGCACGGAGCCGAAGACAACTTGAATCAGACGACGATTGTGCAGGCAGCGAAACCGCCATGGCTTTTAGGCTCGCGCACGCAGTCCGCCCTGCGCCCTGCATTAGATTTGTCTCTTGTTGCACGCTATGGCCTCGACGCTGTCAATTTGAGTTGTGTGAAGGTTCGAGCTCACAAGCACTTGCTCTTACTTACAGTGCGTAAATTTCGAAACATTGGACAGCTCCGCCACCTGTGCTGGATTGGCACGCGAATGATGTTCTCTGATGGCATGAGCAAAGATGTCGTGGACCACCTGGCTCTCCCCGAAGCCTCGGAGAGGAAATGGAGTCAATCTGGATTCCCTCCTGTCTGCCGGCCTGCGGCTCCTGCAACCAGGAAGCCTGACAGTTTCGTAAAGCAGAGTTTTTTCCAGAACTCGACCAGAGCTGCGGCAACACATGCCCTCCAAGTGTTTCCTACCCTTGTTTTATATTCCTCTGTTTCACAGTTTCCGTGTGTCGTTCAGATTGCAGTTCGCATATCCCCAGAAACAAAATGAACGAATCATCCCACCCATCTCTCCATCCAAATGCCCGCTTTCATTGAAAGTGGCGCTGGGACCGACTGCAGAGCACGCAGAAGAAATGGAATCTGCACGTTCCCCAAATATTGCTTGCACTAGGAGGTCGCACTTGGATTGGCATGAGCTTGAAGTAGAAGAAGTGAGTTGTTGTTCTTGCCTCGGTGTTCTACGAGCGGTGGTGTGTTATGTGGTGTGTGCCCTGGGATGCGATAATGGTTGCGATGTGCTGTGTTTGCACCAGTGCACTATGAGTGGCGCGCTACCGTTGGTGCTCTATGGTGCCTCGACGGTTGCGTCATCTCGTTGTTGCCCTACGATGCCCTATTGGCTTCAATGTTTCGCTATTGTCTTGGAGTTCTGTTGCGACGGGCGCTACTCTATGGTTGTCACATTGTGGTTAGTAGATGTGTTCGAGTTGTCGTTATGTTGTTGCCGTGGTGCCGATAGATTATGTTGATAATATGATTGGCATCCCAGGGTGCGTTCACAGGTACGATGTATCGTGCCTTCCCTCGTGTTACCCGCGCGGTGCCGTATGGTTGGCGCCATGTTTCATGATTGGGGTTGTCAATGTTCGTTCCTGCGTTGGTGTTGCATGGGTTGTGTTCGTTGGCTGGTTTGCTATGATGTGTTTGATGGTTGCGATGTTTCGTAAGTGCATCGGTGTCTTATGGGTGGTGCTCTACGGCTGGTGCCCTATGACGCACCCCGCGATTGCGAACTCTCGTTCTTGCCATGGTGCCCAAATGGGTGGTGTTCGATGCTGCCGTGTGGTGCTTCAGTGGTGGCGACTTCGTATCATATTTGTCTTGTTCCCTGCGGTGCCTTGTCGGATTCGCGTTGCGTTCTTGCCTTGGGTGGGGTTCCATGGCCGGCGCCCGATCTGCCTTGACGGTCTCGGGTCACCGCTACTGCCGTGGTGCCGTGCGGGTGGTGTTGTGCGTCTGGTGCAGTCTGATGGATTTGACAGTTGCCATGTCTCGTTGTTGAGCCGATACCTTGTGAATGGTGTCTCAAGACCGGTGCCCTCTGGTGCCTGTGATGGTTGCGACACCTCGTCGCCGACCTGGTGTTCCGCGGGTGATGTTGCCCAGGTTCTCGCAGCAGCGCCGCGCACGAGGTTGCAGCAGCTACGGGGATGGAGGGCGACGTGTTTTCAAAGTCGGGCTTCTTTCTTTCCCACGGCCGCACACAGTCGTGTCATGAGCTTGCAGCAGTGGGAAGGGCGCGGGGCGGCTCGCTGTGAAGACTGGGTTCTTGCCAGAGGGGCGCGCACATGCATGCTGAAAGTGTGCAGCAGGTGCAACCACCGAGGGCCGGTCGTTTTCAAGATGAGGCGCCAGCTGCAGCGCCGCGTGCACTCGACTGAAAAGCTCGCGGCCAGGATAGAGGGCGTCCAGTGGTGTTCCACGAGTGGCTCTCGATGGAGGCGTCCTCAAATGGGTCAATGGCATGTGCACACCCCATTGTAAAACGGTGCTCTCCCTGGACACCTGGTCGAAGCTGACGGTCCTGCCTGTTTGCAGTCCTTGGCATGCCACTGGTCATGGCGCCAACATCGCAGAGCGGATTTCGTTCGGAAAACGATAGGATGGGCCCAGAGTGTCCTGGAGAAGTTCGTTCTGGATTTCGAGGTGAGTTTCGTGCGGATTCTTCTGCCCAGGCGTAAAGACCTAACAGAACCCACGCGAGAGTCCCTTCGTCTTCCACTCGCCGTTACGGGGCTTTTTGCACTGGCAGGAACCCACGCAAGAGTCCGCTGCAGCACGCCTGCAGTCTTGGCGCGGCAGTTTTCGCGCTGCCGGTTTTTCGGCACTGGGCCGGTAACCTCTCGCGTAGGCTGGACATGTGCTCACACGCCGGGCCTTGGTAGACACCGGACCTGAAGAGGGTCCGGTGCCCGGGCAGCGGACAGAGGAGGGAGGAGGAAAGAGGGAGGACGGAGAGGGAGGAGGAGGAGGAGGAGGAGGAGGAGGAGGAGGAGGAGGAGGAGGAGGAGGAGGAGGGGAAAAGGAGCAGGAGGAGGAGGAGGGGGAGGGGGAGGAGGAGGAGGAGGAGGAGGAGGAGGAGGAGGAGGAGGAGGAGGAGGAGGAGGAGGAGGAGGAGGAGGAGGAGGAGGAGGAGGACGAGGAGGAGGAGGAGGAGGAGGAGGAGGAGGAGGAGGAGGAGGAGGAGGAGGAGGAGGAGGAGGAGGAGGAGGAGGAGGAGGAGGAGGAGGAGGAGGAGGAGGAGCAGCAGCAGCAGAGCAGGAGGAGGAGGAGGAGGAGGAGGTGGAGGAGGAGGAGGAGGACGACGACGCACTGGACGGGTGCAGGACGCGCGAGACGCCAGCGCAGGCCCAGGGGGCGCTCTCCTCTCGCAAGGGGGGCGCGCTCCTCGCCCTGAGAAGAGCGAGGGGGATTTTTGTTGCGCGGACTCGCAGGAGGAACAGGAGGGGGAGGAGGAGGAGGAGGAGGAGGAGGAGGAGGAGGAGGAGGAGGAGGAGGAGGAGGAGGAGGAGGAGGAGGACGAGGAGGAGGAGGAGGAGGAGGAGGAGGAGAGGAGGAGGAGGAGGAGGAGGAGGAGGAGGAGCAGGAGCAGGAGGAGAAGGAGGAGGAGGAGGAGGAGGAGGGGGAGGAGGAGGAGCAGGAGGAGGAGGAGGAGGAGGAGGAGCAGGAGGAGGAGGAGGAGGTGGAGCAGGAGGAGGAGCAGCAGCAGGAGGAGGAGGAGGAGGAGGAGGCGGAGGAGCAGCAGGAGGAGGAGGAGGACGTGGAGGAGGAGGAGCAGCAGGAGGAGGAGGCGGCGGAGGAGAGGAGGAGGAGGAGGCGGAGGAGGAGGAGGAGGAGGAGGAGGAGGAGGAGGAGGAGGAGGAGATGGTGCGCTGCAGCAGCGTCGATGCGTCCTGCGCTGCAGTGGGGGCGCGCATCAAGAGACCAGATGCTTTTCGTCAGGTGTCCCGGGTCTCTTTGCTCCGCGCGCTGCGCGGTGATTTCCCGCAGGCCATGAAGGAGCTTCTGCGTTCAGGGTGCTCTGGGTTTCCCCTCCAGAGCACCTCGCGCGCGGATTTTCAGGGTTGGGTTTCTTGCGAGGGTTTCTTGCGGCCGCGACCGCACTGTAATTCTGGTCCCACGTATCCTCCTCTCCGTAGTCATTTTTCTCAGGCATCTGCAGCAGGCTCGTGCTGTTTTTTTGTGTTGCCCAGTGGTGGCCCTGCGAAGAGATGGCCGCCTAGAGGAAGGCCCTCCTCCGCGGTGGGGCGGCATGCTCGTGCCAAGAAGCTCGCCAGATACGATGGGAATCTCAGAGGAGCTGCCCGTGCCTGGCAGCTACGCGCAGCCGTTCGGGAGGATGCCGACGAGCAGCCCAGTGATCGAGATGCCGCCTCCACAGCAGCAGCAGCAGGCGTTCCCCACGCAGCTCGGGCCCGTGGGACATGCGCCCTCCAGCGGGTCCCGCAGCCCGGCGTTGCCGCAGTCCGCGCCCGAGCTGCCGCCCTTCCTGCAGCACCCGAGCGGCGCCACGACGCTTCCGCCGGCCGGCCCCTGGGGCCTGCAGCCAGGCGACGCCCCGCAGCACGCCGCCCGTGGCGCCCGCGGCGCCCCGACGACGCCTGGCAGCGCCGGCTCTTCGCTGCCCGTGGGCACCGCGCAGCTCGGCGCCGAGACGCCCCCGCGGGACGCCCCGCCCGACGTGCCGGGCGGGCTGTCCGTGCCGCCCGGCGGGCCGGAGGGGCCGTGCCGGGGGGCCCTCGGCGACCCGCGGGCGGCCCCGCCGCAGCTCCCCGGGGCGCGCTCGGCGCAGCCGGGCTCGCACCCGGAGCCCCAGCGGTACTTGCTCTCTCGAAGACGCAACGACGCCAGAAGCAGAGGCTCTTGGCGCTCCGCGCGGGCCTCTGCGATCCGCGCGGCCCCCCCCCGGCGCCGCCCCTGGCGCACCTCCGCGCGCCCTGGGAGGGGGGCCCGGCGCGGATCCGAGAGATCCGCGCGGAGCGCCACGAGTCTGCGTTTATGGCGCTTTGTTCGTCTTCTGCTTTCGGCGCCCGCGCACCGCTCCCACACGCAGGTCCTCGACTGCGACCCGTCGAAGCGCGTCCGCGGTGCCGCCGCCGTCCCCGAGCTGGAGGAGCCGCGTGCGGCCCAGCAGCTGCGCCCCAGCCCGCGCCAGCCTGAGGACCAGATCGGGCCGCGGACCGTTGAGCAGATGCTGCCGCCCCGCACCGCCGAAGAGCTGCTGCCCCGCACGGAGGACCATCTCGGGCCCGACGCCATGGAGCAGCCCCCGCCCCGCACCGCAGGGCAGTTGTCGCCACCCTCGGTTGACACGCACGAGCCGCTGGCCCCCAGCTCCATGGACCAGCTGCCGCCACGCACGTCCGAATTGCTGGCGCCGCGGACCTTCGAGCAGCTCCCGCCGCGAACCTCCGAGCAGCTTCCGCCGCGCACCGCCGAGCAGCCACCGAAGCGCAACGACAAGCAGATGTGGCCCCGCACCGCTGAGCAGCTGATCCCCGGATCGATGGGTCGGCTGCCACCGCACACGGCCGAGCAGTTCTCGCCGAGCACAGCGGAGCAGGTGTGGCCGCGCTCTGCCGAGCAGCTGCCTGGACCAGCTGGCTGGGGCCCTCCGCACTCCATGGACAACCTGCCACCACGAACAGCGGAGACAAGGCCCCAGTCCATGGACAGGATGCCGCCGCGAGCGGCGGAGTCGATACCACCCCCGCGCACCGCCGAGCAGCTGCTTCCCCGCTCCATGGGCCAGCCGCCGCGAACGGCGGAGACGATGCCCCCACCCACCGCCGAGCAGCTGCTTCCCCGCTCCATGGGCCAACCGCCGCGGACGGCGGAGTCGATGCCCCCGCGCACTGCGGAGCAGTTGCTGCCTGGCGCTGATGGCGCCCTGCTGCTCCATTCCGAGCAGGTGGCGCATGGCCCCTCCGAGCAGTTGCCTCCGAGTTCCGCGGACCAGCCACCGCCGAGAACAACGGAGACACCCCGATCCATGGACCAGTTGCCGCAGCGAACGGCGGAGGCGAAGCCCCCACGCACCGCCGAGCAGCTGCTGCCCAGGAACATGGACCAGCTGCCCCCGCGAACAGCGGAGTCGATGCCTCCGCGCTCCGCAGAGCAGTTCACACCTGGCCATGAGCGTGCTCGCACGACGCTGCCGCCCAGCGCCGAGCAGGTGGCTGGCTCCGCCGAGCAGCTGCTTCCGCGCTCCATGGACCAGCTGCCGCCTCCGCGCACCGCCGAGCAGCTGCCGCCGCTCGGCACCGCGGAGCAGTCGCCGCACGCGTTGCCGACAGACACCGAGCAGCTGCTGATGCGCGGCCTGGAACAGGTGCTGCCTCCAAGCGGGGAGCAGCTCCACCACGAGGGCCAGCCCTACTCGATGCCGCTCACGTCCTCCGTGCTGGCCCAGCAGCAGTACGCCGCCCAGATCACAGAGCTCGAAGCCCTAGCCGTGGAGTACGTGCAGCGCAACCACGACCTCGAGGCTGTCTTGGGGTCCATGAGATCGACTGAGCAGAAGCAGCTGGAAGAGATCGAGGTGCTGAGGTCGAGGCTGCTGCTGGCAGAGCACGCGGGCCCCCAGGGCCTGGGGTCGTCCCAGGACGAGGCCGACCGCCAGCTCAGGATTGATGAGCTGGAAGGCCGCTCGGCAGAGATGCAGCAGGCGCTGGAGGGCGCAGCCGTGGCCGCAGAGCGGCAGAGCTGGCTGCAGCAGGACTTGGAGAAGCTGCTCGAGGAGAGGGAGGCCTCGAACCGGGCATTGGAGGTGGAGGTGGAGCGACTGAGGCATGCGGCCAGCGATGCCGCCGAGGCCGAGAGAGCCGAGAGAGCCCAGAGCCAGGCCGCCGCAGAGGGCAGCGCTCTGCACATCCGGGCCCTGGAGGAGGAGAAGCGCGCCATGAAGCTGGACCAATCCGCGCTCGTCGAGCGCGAGGTGGAGGCTACCGAGAGGGCGGACCAGCTCGCCAGGCGGACCTCGCAGCTGGAGGCGGAGATCGTGGCCCTCAAGCAGGAGCACGTCCGCGTCGCAGACCTCGAGGAGGAGGCCCGGGCTGCGGCGGACCAGCAGGGCTCTCGCGCGGCGCGGCTGGAGAAGGAGCTCGATGCCGCCAGGCTCGACGCGGACAGGCGCCGCGGCGCCCAGGGCGCCGCAGAGGCCCGGGCAGCGGAGGCCAGTGCCGCCGCCGAGGGGCACTTGCGGCGCAGCGCGGAGCTCGAGGAGCTCCTGCGGGCGCAGGCCGGCGAGGTGGAGCTCCTGCGGCAGGAGCGCGCGCGGGCGCTCGAGCTCCAGGCGCAGGCCCAGGCGAGCGCCGAGCAGAGCGCCGGGCGCAGCCGCGGGCTGGAGGCCGAGGCCGGAGGCCTGCGGGAGGAGCGCGACCGCGCGCTGGCCGCGGCGGCGGAGGCCGCGCGCCGCGGGGAGCAGGAGGCCCGCGGGGCCCAGGAGCGGCAGGCGCAGGCGGAGGGCCGGGGGCGGGCGCGCGCGCAGCAGCTGGAGGAGGAGCTCCGCGCCCTGCACCGGGAGCGCGGGCGGTGGGCGGAGGAGGAGGCAGAGGCGAGGTCCGCCAGAGAGGAGCACGCGGGTCAGATCGCGGCGCTGGAGGCCGCGCTGGCGGACGCGGGCAGCGGCCGGCGGCAGGGCGAGGCGCACGCCGCGGAGCTGGAGCGGGCGCTGGAGGAGGCCAGCCGGCGCAACGAGGAGCTGGAGGCGAAGCTCGCCGCGCAGCAGGAGGGCCAGGAGCTGTTGGCGCTGGGGGCGACGCGGATTGATGAGCTGGAGGAGCAGGTGTCGCGAGGCTGGCAGTGCGAGCGGGAGCTCGAGAAGCTGCTGGCCCACGGAGCGGCGCGGATCGAGGAGCTGGAGGAGCAGGTGGCGCAGGGTCGGCGGTGCAGGCAGCAGCTCGAGGAGGAAGCTGCGCAGCGTGAGGGGCGCAGGCGGGAGCTCGAGAGCCTGCTCGGGGCGGCGGAGGACAGGGGGCGGCAGCTGAAGGAGCTGGCCGAGGAGGGCTTGGCTCGCACCCGCGGCATGGAGGGCCTTCTCGTGCAGCGCAGCGAGAAGCTGGAGGAGCTGCGGGAGATGGCGGCCGCGCGCGCGGAGAAGCTGCAAGAGCAGGTCGGCAGCGCATGGCAGGACCAGTCGGAGCACCTGCGGCTCCGGCAGGACAAGCTGGTCGTCGAGCACTCCCGGCGCTCGCAGGAGTTGGAGCTAGACCAGGCGTCGATGCACGTCAACCGCGGCATGGAGCTGGAGGCCGAGCTCAGAAGGTCGAAGCAGGCCGAGAAGGCACAGCTCGCGCGCATCGCGCAGCAGGAGCAGGCGATCGAGAGCCAGGACGCCAGGCAGGCCAGACCGATGGCCGAGTTCTCCGCGGTCTCGCAGCCGATGGGCGAGCTGGAGGAGGTGATCGGCAAAGTGAGGCAGCTTGAGCGAGACCTCGCCAGCCAAAGCACCACGGTCGCGGAGCTGAGCGACAGGGTCAACGAGCAGGCCGGAAGTGCGAGGGGCGGCGACGCGGCGCTGCTGAGCGGCGAGGTGGTGCGGCTGGGCAGCGCCGTCGAGAAGTTGCGGGAGCGGCTCGGCCTGCGGGGCCTGCGCGGCAAGCTGGACGAGGAGATGTCGCGGCTGAGCGCGCTGAGCGCGACCGCGGCGGACCTCGGCGCTCAGGCCGCCGCCACGACGCCAGAGTCGTTCTCCCCAATCCCGTCCGAGGGATCGCACGCGATCGCGGGCGCCAAGCACGCCGCCTCGACCCGCGCAGAGGCCGTGAGCGACCAGCTCTCGAGGAGCCAGGCGGCCACCGCGACGCAGCCTGTGGCCGAGGCCGCCGCCCTGCAGCGCCCCACGCCGCGCGCAGAGGGGCAGAGCGTGCTGGACCCGGCCACCGCCGTGCGGGGGGCGCCGCCCGAGCGGGCGCTGCCGCCCGTGGTCACCACGGCGACGACGGTACAGGCGCAGGCGCCGGCAGCTCTGGTCGCCGCCGCGCGCGCGCGCAGCGGCAGTGCGTCGCCGATGCCCGCCAGCAGCCGAACGAGGCATCCTGCAAGCGTGCCGCTCTCAGGCCCGACAGCAAGCCGCCCGGCCCCCTTCGTCTTCAGCACAGGCAGCGGGCCGCAGACGCAGACGCGGGTGGCACGGGCGGCCCAGACGCCGCTGCGGGCGGCGCGGCTGCCGCCGCACGCAGGGTCAGCGGCACCGGCGCAGGCGTGGCGCACCGTCGCCGCCCCCGTGCCGATCGCCCAGCCGGCCCTGCAGCTCGCCGGCGGGGCCTGGGCCGCAGTGCCTGCTGGTGTCGCGAGCGGGCCCAAGGTGCTGCAGATGGCACCGGGCAGCTCGCCGGGAGTGCCCGCGTCCGGCCACCCGGCGCAGACCGCCGCAGCAGCGTCGGCACGGCTGTCCAGGGCCACCGCCGGTGCCCAGGAGCCTTTCAGCGTCAACATACACTCTGCCCCGGACACGATTCCCAGCGCAGGCGCCCCCCAGGATCCAGACGTGGGCCTGGCCGCGGCGATGGCAGGCCTCATGACGGAGTGGCGAGCGGAGAGCAATGCTGGCGCGGCGCCGCGCGCCGGAGTGGCGCAGCCGCCCGCCATCACATGAGGCAGACTGGGCAATATTGTTTTCCTGTGGACGCTGCCAACACGCTGGTCAATGCAGCTGGCAGGGAGGGCCAGGCTGGCCATGAGCGAAGCCCGAGCAGCGCCGCAGGCATGCGCTGGCGTTGCCGCGCTCGCTTCGCTGGGCGCACGCCTCCTCCTCCTCGCAGCTGGAGCCCCGAGACCCGCGGGCAAAAAAAGACTCGTCTGCGTGCCTGCCCTTGCCGCCCTCCCGTCCGGTCGCTCTCCCGCCCCTCCTTCCGCTGCTTCTCGCCCGCCCCCTCCTCTTGCTCTGATTATGTTGGCCCTCCCGTTGTGCGGTCTGCCAGCCCTCCTCTCTCTCTCTCTCTCTCTCTCTGTCTCTCTCTCGTTCCCTCGCCCGTCCCCGTCCTCGATCTTGCACCCGTCCCTGCAGTCGGGGCGCTGAAGAAGTAACCTTTTTCGTTGGGGAGAGGCTCGGTGTTCCTTAATTGTTTCACCGCTTGCCTAAGGTTGTCCTTAAGAATTCGATGGCTAATCGAAATCTACCTTATGGAAAAAAGGGCCTCTTTCCTTATTGAGGGCTCCTTAGGTCAACGCCTCGACCGGCACACGCCCTGGAAAGCGGTGACGGCTAGTCGGCAAGCAGCTCGTGGGAGCTGCATGCACACAAACGTGCGCGCTGTCAGGGGGCCGCAGCAGCGCGGACACGCGTGCTCGCTACCTCTGCTGCTGGTGGTATCTCGCCCCGCTTCTGTAGCGGCTCATCATCATCATCATCATCATCATCATCATCAGCATCAGCATCAGCATCAGCATCAGCATCAGCATCATCATCAGAAGCAGCAGCAGCAGCATCAGCATCATAATCAGCAGCAGTATCATCATCATCATCAGCACAGCATCATCATAATCATAATCATAGTCATAACCGTTCTCATCACAATCAACAACAACAGCATCAACAACATCACCATAATATGCATGATCGTCATCGCCATCATCATCTCATCAACATCTGCATCAGCATCAACGTCGTCATCATCACCAGTATCATCATCGTAAGTATCATCATCAGCAGGATCACCAGGATCGCCACCACTGTCATCGTCATTATCGTCATCATCATCAACCTCAACATCAGCATCGTCGTCATCATCGTCATCACCACCATCATCATCACCATCATCATTGTCATCGTCATCTTATTCCCCATCATCATCAGCATCATCAGCATCAGCTTTATCATCGTCATAGTCATCATCATCACCATCAACACCATCATCATCAGCATCAGTATCGACATCCTTATCGTTATCATCACCAGCGTCATCATCAGCATCATCATCAGCATTGTTACCATCATCATTATCATCATCAGCATCATCATCGCCACCATGAGTCTCATCATCAGCTTCGCCAGTATCGCCATCATCGCCATCATCAGCAGCATCGTCACCATCATCAGCGACATCATCATCTGTAGTGTCATCCTCATAATCAGCATAGGCATCATCATCATCGTCGTGATCATCATCCGCATCAGCAGCATCAGCATCGTTATCAATTTGAGCATCGTCGCCGTCATGAGAATCATCATCAGCATCATCATCACAAGCATCGTCATCAGTATCATGGTCACCATCACCATCATCATCACCACCACCATCATCATCACCATCAAAATCAGCATGATCATCATCATCATCATCATCATCAGCATCAGCATCGTCATCGTCGTCATCGTCGTCATCCTTATCCCCGTCTTTATCGTCATCATCAGCATCGCCAGCATTTCCATCAATATCGTCATCATCGTTAGCATCATCAACAACAGCATCATCTTTATTACGGTTAAAATCATCATCGTTACCGTCGTCATCGTCGATGTCGTCGTCATTATCATCAGCAGCATCATCGTCGTAATCACGTTCATCATCATCACCATCATAACCATCACTATAATCAGCATCAGCATCATCATCAACATCATCACCGTCGCCAACGTCATCAGCATTACCGTCGCCATCATCGTCATCACCATCATTATCCATATTCAGCATCATTATCGTTACCAGCATCATCATCAGCAGCATCATCATAAGTAGAATCAACATCCTCATCATCAGCAGCAGCATCATCACGGGAGGGCTGCCCTGCTCTGGAGGAGGTGTCGCGGGACGAGATGCGGCCGGAGGGGACGGATAAGACCCCGGTTCTGGGGGTGGCAGTGCATGATCGACAGCTGGAGTTGGAGGAGGCCGAGGTGGCGGTCGAGGTCGAGGAGGAGGCGCGAGACAGCTGCAGGTGCTGCCGGAGGCGCTCGGTACTGCTGGTGTCCCGCCGCCGCTGCCTGCCGACTCCGAGAGCGCCGAGCGGGTGCGGGAGGAGCGCTTCGGGGCGGCTCCACTGCACCCCGCAGCAGCTGGTCCTCGCCGCGGAGGCGGGGGCTGCCGCTGAGGCTGCGGCTGCCCCTGGCGGCGGTGCAGCTGCGGCCGCATTGCCTGCCGAACAGCTGCGGCGCGGCGGGATTGCAGGGCCCAGTGCGAGCGGCGCACTGCGATGCGGCTCCGTATAGGCTGCCCGCGGGCGGCGCGCAGCGCCTGCCACACACGCGGCGTCGCCGCGCGCCGGTCTGCTGATGACTTCGAGGGTGCACCGCGCAGCGCTGCCGAGCGCGTCGCGGACGCGATGTTGGTTACTGCGCCACCGCCCTTGCATTACGTAAGTCGGGCGTGCCCCTTCACAGGAGGAAGATTCAGAAATAGTCCAAGAGATAGTTCGCGGACGATCTTGGACTATTTTTGACTAGTTTTTATTATTTGTTGTTTGACTAACTTGAATTTGTCGTCCAAAATCCGCCCGTAGGAGGACACGACCGACCTTTGCCAACGCCCTTGCACCCTGCCGGGGCTCCCGGCCTGCTGCCGCTCCCAGCGCCAGAGTTTCCGGCCGCCCTGGGAAAGGCCGCAGCTCCTGGAGGCGCCTGCGCGGCCGCTCAAAGTCTGAGGTGGACATCGACGCAGCCGCCAGGCTCGAGTCCCAAGCGGTGGGGGGCCCCACACTGGCCCTAGGATGTTCCAGCCTGCTTGAGCCTTCCTCACCAAAAGGACTTTCGCGCACCAGGAAAGAAAGTACTGAAGCTTGAGGAGTTTCACGCGTCGGGCCCTGGGAGGCGATACTCGTTCGACACTGCTTCGATACCTTTCTGGGTGCTCGAGATCATTTCTGGGATGAGGTCCTTAAGTACCACGGGGGCAACATAACACTAGCCACTAGATTTGGGGAGACTGCCTCAGCACCTCGTCGCCCGCGTCGCTGACGCGTGCGCCGCAGCCCTCGGCGGGCTCGCTGCCGCGTGCCCGGCGCGCCGCCCCCCGAGGCGGAGGCCCATGCGCGGAGCCCGCCCCTCGCGCGCCTGCGGTTCTGACGCTCGGCACCGAGCTCAAGCTCGTGGAGCTCGGCCGGCCTCCGGCGCCGCTGGACGTCTGCACGGGGTCCCTGCAGGCGCGTGCGCTCGCTGCGCGGGCGCAGCGGGCTGCGGCAGGTGCCGCCATGGCGACCTGCCTCGTCCACGAGAGCCCGCTGCCGACGAAGGGGTCGTCGCCGCCCTGCGCCGCAGGGGGGGTCTCCCCCAGCAGTCCCAGCGCTGCGGGGTCTGCCCAGCCCCCCGCGGGACGAGAGCACCCTCGGCGCCGCGCGGGCGCTCGTGGCTGTCCCCGCCGACGATGCGGTCTGGGCACGGGCGCTGGAGAAGGCGGCGGCTATCCTGGCGGACTCCTCGGTGCGTCAGATCCGCGTGGCGCAGCGGGACGTCGTGCGCGAGACCGTCAAGCTCAGCACGGCGGCGGCGCCAGGGCCGAGTGGCTGGTCGAGCGTGCTGCTGCTCCGCGTCGCGAGGGTGCGGCAGGGCCCAGCTGCACTGGCAGCCTTCGTGGAAGTGTTCACGCACGGCCGTCTTGCTGCAGCAGATGCCGTGCTTTGGGGTGTCGCCGCGCTCGCGCCCGTCAATCAGGGCAAGCGGCGGCCTGACGGGTCGTGGAAGTTCCGACCTGCGGGCCTGATGGAGGCGCCGGCCAGGGTTGCCGACGGCATCGTTGTCGGGAAGTACCTCGCGGCGGTCCGGCGGCGGATGGAACCCGCTGCAGTTGGGCTCGCGCCGGCAGGGGTCCCCATATGGCCCATGTGCATCAAGGCACTGCGCGGGTGGGTTGCTGCTACGGCCGCGCTCGCCGCGCGCGCGGAGCCAGAAGCCCCTGGCGATCCGCCCGGCGCAGCTCTTGCCGACAATGCCGCCCTCACGGAGATCGATCTGGAGAGCGCTCACAGCCGACTGCAGCGGGCAGGCGCGCTCCGCGGCGTTCGCGGGGCAGCTGCGCCGCCCGCGAAGCTGCTATACCTGCAGTTGCAGGTGGGCTCGGCCCGGATCTGGATCCGCGTCGGCGATGCTCGGCGCTGCTGGGAGGTGTGGACGGGGGGCGTTCGACACGAAGGCCTCGCAGAATTTGAAAGGCGCGTCCAGTCTCTGCCCTCCTGCCGGCGGCTTGCTGGTCCACGCCAGCATGAGCCAGGCGCGCACAGGAGGGGTGGCCTCTCCCACGAAGCCCAGGCGCCCCAAGCCCGACACCACCTCGCTCGCACAGGCGCTGCCGCGCCCGGCCGTCTTTAGGCACCTGTCCGCTAACCACTTTGCCCTTGCCTCCGACAGGACAATGGCGTAGGTGGCGCACGGTCAACCCGCACAACGAGGATGGGCGACCTTCCCAAGGGTACCCTTGCATCCTCCCCCTTCGGCCCATCCTTAGCGACTTTCGCCTGGCCAACCTCCTTCGAAAAGCGCGCACGTGGCCCTCCAAGGCCCCTGCATCCCTACCGCGCACCCTTATGATACGGGCTGGCTGCAGCCGCAGCGGAGGCCAGTACGCCCCACCTCGAGAGGCCGCCCCGCGCCTTGGCCTGCTTGCAGGGCCTGCTCCTCGCCGAGGTCGCGCTCACCATCGTGACCCCCGCGCTCCTCACAGGCGC